TGGAGTGGGGCTGCCAGTAGACAGGAGACTGGGGGCTGCAGCTGGAAGGGTCCGGGCAGGGGCGTGGAGGATGGGCCAAGACCTGCCCCTGTGCCCACCGCGGCTTCACGGCCCACAGTTCCTTTTAAGGTGCACGAATTCATGCACGGGGCCCCTAGTTAATAATAAGTGTGCTAAATTCTTATGAAGTACTATATAGCTGAAAAGAATGAATTAGATCTATATTTCAAAAATAGATGAGTCTCAGAAACATGTTAAGTGATGCATACTAGTATGCCAAAATATTGCATTAATTAATATATTAAAAAAAAAAGAGAGAAATAGTTCACACTAAATTCCTCTGAAGGGTAAAAAAGAGTGGCATGAAGGGGCAGGAGGGCAGACATGTCTTTACATTCTCAGTGAAGTTTATTTATTAAAGAAAGATTTAAAACAAAATATATAAGTTACTGACATTTAGTTATTCTGTATTGGGGTGTTTATTATAGTATCTGTATTTTTCGGCATTTAACGTTTTTTTCAAATAAAGAAAGCTATCTGTAGTTTACATAAGATCCAGACAATGTTCTTATTTTTAAAATATATATATTTTTATTGATTTCAGAGAGGGAGATGGAGAGAGACAGAAACATCAATGATGAGAGAAAATCATTGATTGGCTGCCTCCTGCATGCCTCACACAGGGGATGGAGCCCACAACCCGGCATGTGCTCTGTCCGGAAATCAAACCGTGACCTCCTTGTTCATAGGTCAATGCTCAACCATTGAACTAAAACGCGGTCAGGCCAGACAATGTTCTTTTTTAGAGACGCTTCTTCTTGCCCAGAACGCCTTGTATGTATAAAATACTGGGATCCTGAACTGTGCAATTGTTGAAAACCAATGTACCTACATGGGTATAGAGCAGTAGTGGTCTTATTAATTCAAGACAAATACAAACCTAAAATTTTGACCAAATCTATTATAAGAACTTTGAAGACTAAAAGACTTTACCCACCTAGAGGTAAATACTATGACTACTTTTCTTTAATGCAACCCCTTTTCTAAATAGAAAAATGGCTGAAAGTATAATACAAGGCCTGACGTTTCATACATATATCTTATCCCTTTTCAGTACAAAGACAAATGATAGTATATAGGTTAAGATTGTTTTAAGGTAACAGCATTACTGACTGGTATGAATTTTATATATCAGCTCTAAAAGGATCTTAGACTACTTAATAGACTGAATTTTTTTCAATGCACAATTTTTACCCCACTGAATTTAACAAACATCTAGTAATTTTTCTCTATTTAGATCAAAATTTGTGCAAAATTTATGATTACAGTTATCATGGAAATAAACAAAAAGATAAGCAATATTCTACTTCAAATAAAATTCTACCTAAATAGAGTGACAAAGCATGACTGGTTTTGTTATGTGTGTTTTCTTTCAGACAAAGCAGGAGTCAAGACAGACACCAGTGAGGGATATGAGTAATGAGAGAGAAAAGAGTCCCAATTTCTCAAGGCTGCAGTTGTGGTTTTAACTTGACTAAATAAATTAGCAGTTTGAGTCAAGTACATAATAAAGTCAGTATCAGTAGAAGTAAAACTGCCCCAAAATGTAAAATGCTCAGTGGAAATGACGGACAGCATATGAAAGCGCCCACACTAAAATCAACACATCCCAATTCACAGCAGATGCACAGAGTGAAGCAAAACACATGCACATTCCTCACCTCAAGGGCCCAACTTAAATTTTCAATTTGTAAACACTGAGGAATAGCGGAATTTGGTTGGCTTATCAGTTAATATGTAATCTGTTCTGGCTTCCTTTTTAGGAGAGAACCTAAGTGGTTTACTGGTGAAAAAAGGTTATCAACCAGGTCTGCAGCCCCTTGAACAAATTCAACAAGAGGCCAGGGGAAAAGAATGTGAGACCTGGATGTAAATATTTTTTTATTTTCCCTATTGTTTGCCTTTGGAAATCATACTCATTCTTCAAAGTTTTATTCAAATACCTTCTCTTTGAAATGGCTTACCCTAATCTCTCAGGACCTGTGTTCTAACAATAAACTGATTGCCACATTTGTATCTGCAACCTGACCCCCTCCCCGATCTCGACTTGCCGGTGAGGTGGACTAAACATCTCCAGTTTATCATGTCCAAACTGCACTCGAGCCCCAAACCCACTACTTCCCATCTCAGGAGGAGAAACCACCATTCACCAAAGCTTGGGCCACAAGCAGTCAGTCACCTAGTTTCCTCTCTTCCTCCCCCAACCCCACTTAACCATCAGCAAGTTCTCTCAGTTCTACCATCGGAATCGATTTGGAATCTGAGCACTTCTTACCACATTCTCCGCATGCCACCACCCTGATTCATGCCAGAGCCTCTCCTATTCTTGGCCTGGATTATTGCAGTGGCCTTACCGCTTCCACACATGGCAGCACCCACAAATTTCCCATAGCCAACTCTCCCCACACCAACCATGTTCTTTTTTTTAATATATATATATATATATTTTACTGATTTTTATAGAGAGAGGAAGAGAGAGGGATAGAGATAGAAACATTGATGAGAGAAAAACATCGTTGATCGGCTGCCTCCTGCACACCCCCCTTCTGGGGACTGAGCCCACACTGCAGGCATACGCCCTGATTGGAAATTGAACCAAGATCTCTTGGTTCCTGGGTCAATGCTCAATCACTGAGCAACACCAGCCGGGCCCAGCCATGTTCTTTTAAAAATGGATTCTTGCACAGAATCCTCCATGGCTTCCATCTCACAACAAAATCCAAAGTCTCTCCTATGACCTGCCTACCAGGAACATTCCTCCTTCCTCCCTGAGCCCATCTCCTACAGTACCACTCCATCACTCCATTGCAGGAACAATGACTTTGCTGTCCCTTAAATACTTTAAGCTCATCACCACCTTGCGGCCTTGCCCTTCCCTCTGTTTGGAATGCTGTTCCCCAAAATGTGTGCACGACTTGTAAACTCATTTTGTATAGGATCTCGGTTCAAGTATCACCTTCTCAGACACACGGCCTTCCCAATAACCCTCTTTAAGACAGAATCCACTCCCAAACCCCTTTACACTGCACCCCCCCTCCATTCGGCACCTATCAATTATCCAGCAACACAGTTATATACATTTCCTTTTTTATTTAGTACCCATCTTCCCCACACCAGATGAGCTCCATAAGGCAAAGGTTTTGTCAGTATTATCATCTCAGTCTCTCAAGTTTCTAGAAGAATCCTTGGCACACAGTAGGCATCCAATAGATAATGGATGAATGAAAGTTCCAGGTACTGTGCTAGTCCCTCAAACTAGAAATGACACTGCTGAGCCTGCCCAGACCCTAGGAAGACAGAAAATGTCCTTGGAGGACCATTCCAGGACCCATCCAGAACTAATGAATAAGAATTTCTGGGACTGAGGCTCTGAAGTTACATTTATCTTGAAAAAAAATTATCAAGTGATAGTGACATTAGTTAATATCTAACAGTGCCAGGTTTACACTAAGCACTTTACATATGTCAGCTCATTTCATCTTAATATACCCCATGGTGAAGAAGCTGAGGCATGGAGAAGTTAAATACTTTATCCAAAGTCATGTGACTTTTAGGTGGCAGATCCAGGATCCACAAACAAGCAGTTTGGCCCATGAATTCACACTCTTTTTTTTTTTTTTTTTTTTCATTGATTTGTAGAGAGAGGGAGGAAGGAAGAGAAGTAGTGGGAGAGGGAGGAAAGCAGGGAGAGAGAGAGACAAACATAGATCTGTTGTCCCATTTATTTATGCATTCATTGATTTTCATGTGCCCTGACCGGGGATCGAACGTGAAACCTTGGTGTATCAGGACAATGCTCTAAGCAACTGAGCTGCCCAGCGGGCCTGAATTTACACTCTTAAATTAACTGCATAATTGTATACTACCTCTTACTGCATTGAATACTAAAATAAAGTTAACATATGAAACTTTATGTGAACACAGGAGGGTGGAGAGGGCAGAGAGCTGAACACTGATGGAAGCCCTGGTATTTGAAAAGATACATGTTGAGCTGTAAGAAAAGCCCTGGTATGATGTGATCAAAGTGCAACCGGCCTCTATAGGAGACACCACATGGTTAGAGTATAAGGGGCATGAGGGAAGTGAATGAAGGTGAGAAATGGGGGGAAATCATGTGTGCTTATGCTTTTAAAAAGCATATATATAGTTTAAGCAAAAATAAACTGTAAAAACTGACCATTTAACCCTACATAAGTCTGGCAATGAGCTCTATAAGAGGAAATGGAAGGAGAAGTATTAAAAATGATTTTAGGGAGGTAGGTGTAAGGAAGGAAAATGGGTTTCCCTTTTCTGATCATGGGCTTTAAAAAGAATTACTCATCACCTCTACTGGCATTCAGTATAAACCAGAGGTAAAAATACCTATACTGCCTGGACGGTGGCTCAGGTGGCTAGCTCCAGCATCGTCCTGTATACCTAAAGGTTTCGAGTTCTATTCCCTGTCAGGGCACATACTTAGGTTGTGGGTTCAATCCCCAGTCAGGGTACATAAAGGAGGCAACCGATCGATGTTTCTCTCACATCAATGATTCTCTCTCCCCCCCTTTCTCATTCTCTAAAGTCAACAAATGTACCGTAAGGTGAGAATTAAAATATAAAATACCTGTACTTGCGGCATGTCTGTGTGTGTGTATCGGAGTGTTATTCTAAACAGCTTGTAAATATTGTTGTTTAAAAGAGAAAATACCGCCCTAACCGGTTTGGCTCAGTGGATAGAGTGTCAGCCTGCGGACTCAAGGGTCCCAGGTACAAGTCTGGTCAAGGGCATGTACCTTGGTTGCGGGCATATCCCCAGTAGGGAGTGTGCAGGAGGCAGCTGATCAATGTTTCTCTCTCATCGATGTTTCTAACTCTCTATCCCTCTCCCTTCCTCTCTGTAAAAAAAATCAATAAAATATATTTTTTTTTAAAAGAGAAAATACCAGTTGAGATTGTATGTCTTTTTTTTTTTTTTTTTTTTTAAGTATGGCCCAATTTTGAAAGGCTTTGATGCTGGTCTAAGAATTTTGACCACTAACCTGTAAAAACTAGAAGGCCAGTGAATGTTTAAAACAAAGAAATGACATGATCAAATTTCAATTTTAGAAAAATGACTCTGAAAACTGTATACAGGACAGTGTGAAGGATGAGGGAAGCCGGGAGAAGTTAGAGTCAGAAAGCTGGGACATGAGCAAAAATCCTGAAGGGAGAGGGCTATACTCAGGATATGGCAGGGGGTAAAGAGAAGAGACAGGATTTTCATTGGTGAAAATGGACGGAGTAGATGTGAGAGGTGTAGAGGAAGGAGTGTGAAGATGAGTTTAGGATTTCTGGCTTACCCACCTAATGCTAGGCCATTCCCAAGATATGGAAGACACACTGGATGGGAACAAGAAAATAAACCATGGATGCAGTATAGAATAGGTTAAGTCTGAGGTGATTTCATGACAACCAGATAGGAAAGGTGTCCACTAAGCAGAAAACTGTAGGATCAAAAGATCTGCTTAGAGCTAGAGATTTGGAAGTTTTCTGTGTAGAGTGAGAGCTGAAGGCATTATTAATGAGGTAACATTCAGAGGGTAGTTAAATGGAGCAGAAGCCTGGAAAATGTCAACATCCAGAGTAAATTGATAAAGAAGTGGGCAGTTCACCAGAAAAGTCAAAGACAAATGTCGCAGGGAGAAATCTGGTGAACTGAGAAGGGTTTCAGTAGAGGGGTAAAGTCTCAGAATTGAAAGGAAACTGAATACATAAACAAACAACTGAAGATTCATCGCTTCCAAAAACTTAGTTGTGGTAGAAGACTGGGCATTTGCTTAATTGGGGGGACAATCTGGAGGAATGTGATCTCTTTTTAGGAAGGGACAACTTAAGCATGTTCATAGGCACTGGGAAGGACTAGTAGAAGAGAAACTCAAGACACCAGGAATAGGCCGACAAATGAAGCAAGACACCATAATTGATGGAAATGGTTGGGGTAAATAACAGGGGGTGAGGAGGCAGTTCTGACTCTGAAATCGGAGGGGAGGAGGCATGAAAACGTAAGTTTGTAGAAAAGAAAAAAGTGATCAGCATTTAGCAGAAAATCTTTACCTATCTTCTCAATGAAATGCACCGTGCCACATCCACCTGCTGCCCACAGCAGGCCTCACTGACAGGTTTCACCACCCTAACCACAGGAAGTTCCCTTCCTCTTCTCAGCATTCTCAGACCCAACATCATTAACTTCCTGAGAACCTGCCACGTGCCATGCATTGTGCTAGGCCCTGGGATCTGGGAATAAGACACAGTCTAAAAAAGGCAACGGTCTTGTTGATTAATGCGGAAGGAAGTCAGATAACCAAATACACTCACTGTAGTAAGTTTGGGGGTACAGGGAAGAGGCACACTGTGAGTGGAGAGTGTGTCAAGAAAGTGACCTCAAAGAAATGAAACTGTGTTGAGCCTTAAAGGTAAGGGGAAAGGAGCAGTTTAAAAAGGAGGAGGACTGAACACATCTTGAGTGGTGGAAACAACTTCTGCAGAAGTCCCAAGGCTGGAGCACGGCATAAGGAAAGACAGTGCTGGAGAGAGCAAGGGTGACAAGCATAAATGATTTTCTAGGTCTTGTTAAAAAATTTAAACGTTATTCTTTTGGTACTGAACAGACATTTAATGATTTTAAACAAGCAAGAGATAAGCTCAGATTTGCATATTTGAAAGTGTCATCAGTCTGGAGAAAAGAGAGAACTCATACAAGAGGACCAATTAAGAGGCTATTACAGTTGTCCAAGGGAAAATGAAGCAACCACAAAGGTGATAAGGAAGAAGGGGCAGATTTGAGTCATGGGCTCTAAGTTCGTCAGCTATGTGGGTATGGGTATCATTCAATGAGATACCTGCAGGAAGAGAGGGTTTGGAGAAAAAGGAAAACAAATAGTAAGGAGTATAGTTTGGGCCATGCTGCATTTGAAGCCTATTTATGGGCTTGAGTCAGGCCTGGGATCATCCTAAATGATGTTAGCAACCAGGGGTACTAGCAGAAGAGCTCCTCAAAGGGGTAAAAGACAGGGAGGCAGGGAAACTAAGAGAAAGAGAAGAGGAGTAAGAAGGGGGAGAGGGAGAACCTATAACCCTCTGCATTATCAACAGGACTTGATGACTGGACAAAAGTGACAAATGGGTGGAAGAAAGCCAAAAGAGAGTGATTAGGGAGGTGAAGGGAAGAGTGTCAAGAAGCAGGATGGCAACAGTTGTCAATGCTACAGAGAGCACACATAAGCCAAAGACTAAAAACGCAACAACAGATGTGGTAATGAAGCATCCTGGGCAATGACTTTAGGAGTGGATGGTTGGTGAGAAAATGAAGATTAAGACTACTATTTCCAGAAATTTGCCAGGATAAGAAGGAAAGTGAAGGGAAGAGACAGTAGTAGCAAAATAACTGAGAAAGCAATTATTCCTTTTTAAAGGCGGAAGACACTCAAATGCTTACTGCAGATGACTAATTGCCGAGTGCTGTGTTCCTGTAAGGTATATAAAGGAAAGAAAGGAACTATCTTGCTTTGAAAGGGAAAGGCATTCATTTACAAATAACAAAGTAAAAAACCCAAACGAACTGGCCAAGTGTTTTTTGGACTCCTCTACGTAACATCTCCTGTCTCTCCACCTCTGCCATCCTCTGGGTAAGACCTGAGGTCAACCAGGCACCCATCAGTCAGCTGAATCCTCCTGTTCCTCAATTGCACAGGAAGTTTTGAGTGAGTGCATCTGCAGATTCTCCAAGGAGTGATTCATTGCTTTCCTTCTTCCAATTAGTAAAGCAGTGTCTGACTTTAAAAAGGTCAAAAAGCACGAAGTTAGATTTTCAGAGCAGTCCATCAGGATACATTTATATGCCAACAAATCAATTCAACCAACAGAATGTGAATTCAAATAAGCCTCCATAAGGACAAACCTTTGGTTTTTCAGCAAATCCTTCTTTTTATTCTTGTGTATGCTTCTATTGCAAATGGTCATACCAAACACTGAAAAGATGACCAAGTCCTGGGTTATGTCCCACATAAAGCACACCGAGAGTAAGACGTAAACAAAACATGCACATGATAAACAAACTGTAAAATTTGAGATGATGCAGAAAAAACTGGATGAAAATCTCTCAAAAAATACTCAGGTAAGGTTAACAGAACAGTGAGCTTTTCAACAGGAACAAGAGGGTTGGTTAATTAAATGTCTGGGAGCCTCCTAGTGCGAAGCGCTGGTAGGTAGGGACTATGGGAAATGCAAGCTCATTTCTCTCTGCAGGGGCTTTCCATCCTTCTTCTTCAGCTAAACTAAACTTGAATCTAACCTCTCAAAGCTAGAGCTAAGAGAAACACCAGGAGGCACTGAGTTCAAGCTTCCTCCTCCAACAAAAGAGGAAATCAAAACTGAAGAGATCAGCTGAGTGTCTCTAAGTGATGGAAAGGGTAGGAACCTAAGTTTCCCTTCATGACACAAAGCACACAAGTTTTAGGGACTGAAAAACCGAGATGCAAATCAACACATTTTGCCAAGTCCTGGCCCTAGGTTTTCTCATTTCTAAAATGGAGATAATAATACCGAGTTCTCAAGTAGGTACCACTCCCTTCCTTCCCTTTTTCCTATTGTACTATAAATGCTGAATGATGTAACTAAAACGTTAAGACAGTACCCAGTTAAAACACATTGTGATGGCAGGCATCAAGGAAATAAAGGAATTCAAGTAGGGAGTGGGGTGGTAGAAGGGGAGGTATAGTGTTAATATTAGCACTAAATTTTCAACACAAATAAATGACACAATCAGAAGTGATCAAGTTAGGATACAAATTCTTAAGGGAAAATAGAAATTGGTAGAAAAATATTAAGTCAATTAGTCACTCTAATGTTCCATAACTACTCTGTACTTCATGAAAAGCAGTGCCAAAGAGGCCATTACTAGATTACAATTACAATTAAGCTCCTTTCTTTTTCTGTCTTATTTCTCTTTTAATCCTCTTTCTCCATTCCCAAGATCCTATTTCCAGACTTCCTTTCATCTTCTTAACAACATAATAAATAAGACAACTGAGGGTCTTCCTAGTCAGTCAAACTCCCACTCATCTTTTAAAGCAAAAAATATAGCCAACATAAAGAACATGGGCTTTGCAGTCAAGACAAATCTTGGTTCAAATTCCAGCTCCACCTCTAATTCACAGCTATATCTCCTTCCCAGGCTTGTTGTAAGAATTAAACGGGCATTTATAGAAAAATGGCTAACACACAGTATAAGCTCGCCAACTCACAAATCTCAAATGTCACCTTCTCTATGAGATCCAAACAATGAAGTGGAATTAACATAGCTTTTTCTAAGCTCCCAATGGGGGCAGCCCATAAGCGTCTGGTCTCCATATTCTCTTCTCTTCCTACACTACTGTGAGGCTGGGAACTTTAAGGGCCAGGACTCCTCCTTTGTCCCCAACTCAATGCCTGGCCCATAGGAAGCTTTCAGTAAGTGGTGACCAAATCAACCCTGCACAAGTCATGTTATATTCTACCCGACAAGATGGAGTCATGGGTCCACAAAGGAAACCTCCAAAGATGAGTTGATAAAAGGTGCAGAGGCTTAAAAATGGTGGTGGAGTTAAGTGGAAGCTACACTGACACATTCTCAGGACCAAAACGCAAATACAACTAAAATACGGGGGGGGGGGGGGGGGGCGCAAAAACAGCCATGGCCGGTTTGGCTCAGTGGATGGAGCGTCGGCCTGCAGACTGGGGGGTCCCGGGTTCAATTCCGGTCAAGGGCATGTACCTTGGTTGCAGGCACATCCCCAGTGGGAGGTGTGCAGGAGGCGGCTGATTGATGTTTCTCTCTCATCGATGTTTCTCTCTATCTCTCTCCCTTCCTCTCTGCAAAAAATCAATAAAAATATTTAAAAAACAAAACAAAAACAAAAACAAAAAACACTCTGAAAAGTCAACTGAAGACTAGCTACAGAGAACCCTGCAAATGAAGGATGGAAAGTGGAGACAGCATAGAGACGCAAAAGGGCTGGCTGGACTCCCACAGACAAGAAATGAAGGTCCAGAGAGATATCTCAGCTGTCGGGGGTTCCCACTGAGCACTCCGGGATCTAAACCCCAAGTTGGGCTCCCCAGCCCAGAAAACCAGATCTGAGAAAGGTGCCCACAGAACATCTGGCTGTGAAAGGCAGCAGAGTTGCAGTCAGCCAGATAGAGATAACTGGAAATGAAGGCACTCTCTTAAAGGGCCAATGCACAGCATTTCGTGTGCCGCCACTCACATAGGGCTCCGGAGAAGGGAGGGCAAATTGGACTGGAGCTGTGAGGAGAATCCAGGGTTGGGGGCTCTGGGGTGGGAGCTGGGAAGGCAGCCACCCCAGTTCCTATACTGAGTCATTCCCTCCCACAGGGGAGGACATCTTTCTCCATAGACCTTTGCTATCCAGGCAGTTTTCGGCTGGGGGGGCGGGGGGGGGGGGGAGAATTAAGCAGTTGACCCACCCTGTTGGAACACCTCTCTCCCCAACCTGTGTCCATAGCCTAAGGCTAGTCAAGCCTGAATACAATCAGACTGCAGGCAGAGGTGTGTCTCTGGAGGCTTTGAGTCTTTGCTTAATCTCTTTCTGGGCCTGGGGTTAGGAAAGCAAAACCTGTTGTACATCTTCGTCCTTTCCAAAGACACCAAGCCCCAGCAGAGGGAGCCACAAGCTGTGGATTGCAGGTAGCTCCAAACAGGGTATTCAGGATCAGTCAGAAACAGCAGCATCTGGCATTGTCCTCCAATAGTGATAGGGAGTTGTAGCACATCTACCTAATACATAGACAGAAACCCAAACAGGCAGCCAAAATGGGGAGACAAAAAGCCAACCCCCAAATGAAAGAACAAGAGAATTCTCTAAAAGAAGAGCTAAACAAAAGGAAGATAAGAAATTTATCAGATATAGAGTTCAGGATAATGATGACAAAGATGCTCAACATCATGAGAAAATATAAATAACAATGAAAAAAGACAAATTGGAAATAAAGAATGCATAGCACTAGTAAAGAATACATTGGAAGGAATACACAGCAGATTAGGGGAAGCTGAGGATTGGATCACTGAAGTAGAAGACAGGGTAGAAGAAAAACCACTCAATCAGAGAACCAAAAAGAAAAAATAAAAGATTAAAAAACAGGAGGACAGCTTAGGGAAACTGTGGGCAACATGAAATGTAACAATATTCACATAATAGGAGTACCAGAAGAAGAAAGTGAGCAAGGGATAAAGAACATGCTTGAAGAAATAATGGCAGACCATTTCCCCAACATGGTGAAGAAAAATGTCACACAAGTCCAGGAGGCACAGAGAGTCCCAAGCAAGAACCCAAACAGGCACAAGCCCAGAAACATCATAATTAAAATGCCAACAAGTAAAGGCAAAGAGAGAATCTTAAAGGCAGCATGAAAAAAGCAATCTGTTACCTACAAAAAGAGCTCCCATAGGCTGTCAGCTGATTTCTCATAAAAAACTCTATAGGCCAGAAGGAAATGGCATGAAGGGGGGGTGGGGGACTAAGGGACTAAGGGAGTTTATCACCACCAAAGAAATGCTAAAGGGACTGCTGTAATGGGAATAGAGAGACAGACAGAGATAGAGATAGAGATAGAGATAGAGATAGAGATAGAGAGAGATAGAGATAGAGAGAAACATAGATATACAGAATTAAAATGGCAATAAATACTATCTATCAATAATAACCTTAAAGGTAAATGGATAAAATGCTCCAATCAAAAGATATAGGGTAGCTGAATGGATACAACAACATGACCCAATTATATGCTGTCCACAAGAGGCCCACCTCAGAACAGAAGATTCACACAGAATGAGAGTGAAGGGATGGAAAAAATTTTTCCATGCACATGGAAACAAAAATAAGCGGAGGTAGCAATCCTCATATCTGACAAAATATACTTCAAAATGAAGGCCATCACAGGAGACAAAAAGTTCACTACATAATAATAAAGAATCAATCTAATAAGAGGATATAACACTGATAAAACATATATGCACCCAATGTAGGAACACCTAAATATATTAAAAGAAAACCTTCCAGAGGACTTTAAGGAAGACATCAACAGCAATACAGTCATGTTAGGGGATTTTACCACCCCGCTGACTTCACTGGATTGATCTTCCAGACAAAAAATTAAACAGGAAAATAACTCTAAATGACATACTGGATCAGATTGATTTAACTGACATTTATAGAACATTTCACCCCAAAGCTGCAGAATATACATTCTTCTCAAGTGTGCAAGGGTCATTCATTCACAAAGACAGACCACATGTTAGGACACAAAACAAGTCACTACAAGTTCAAGGAGTTTGAAATAATATCAACATCTCACATCACAGTGGCATGAAATTAGAAATCAACTATAGTAAAAACACCCAAAAACATTCAAACACATGGAAACTAAATAGCATGTTATTAAACAATGAATGGTTACCAACAAGATCAAGAAAGAAATAAAAAACTTCCTGGAAACAAATGAAAATGAACATACGACAACCCAAAATTTCTGGGATACAGTAAAAGCAGTCCTGAGGGGAAGTTCATAGCACTACAGGCATACCTCAAAAAAACAAGAAAAACCAACAATACACTATTTGACCTTACAACTTAAAGAACTAGAAAGAAAACAAAAGAAAAAGCCCAGAGTAAGTAGAAGGAAGGAAATAATAAAAATTAGAACAGATATAAATAACATTGAGACTAAAAAAACAATACAAAAAAATCAATGAAACCAAGAGCTGGTTCTTCAAAAGAATAAACAAGATTGATAAACCATTAGCCAGGCTCATCAAGAAACAGAGAGGACCCAAATAAATAAAATCAGAAAGGAAAGTGCAGAAGTAACCACCGACAGACAGAAATACAAAGGATTGTAAGAAAATACTATGAACAACTATATACTAACAAGCAAGACAATGTGGATGAAATGGACAAATTCATACAAAAATACAATCTCCCAAAACTAAATCAGGAGGAATCAGAACACCTGAATAGGTCAATAACAACTGATGAAATAGAAGCAGTAATCAAAAAAGTCCCAGCAAACAAAAGCCCAGGTCCAGAAGGCTTCATAGGGGAGTTTTACCAAACATTCAAAGAACGACGAACACTTAAACTCCTCAAACTATTACAGAAAATCCAAGAGAAAGGGACACTTCCAAATTCTTTTTTTTAAAAATATATTTTACTGATTATTTACAGAGAGGGAGAGAGATAGAGAGTTAGAAACATCGATGAGAGAGAAACATCGATCAGCTGCCTCCTGCACACCTCCTACTGGGGATGTGCCCGCAAACCAAGGTACATGCCCTTGACCGGAATCGAACCCGGGACCTTTCAGTCTGCAGGCTGACGCTCTACTCACTAAGGCAAACCGGTTAGGGCCTTCCAAATTCTTTTTATGAGGCCCGCATTATTCTACCTCCAAAACCAGATAAAGACACTACAAAGAAAGAAAATTACAAGCAATATCCCTCATGAACATAGATGCTAAAATCCTCAACAAAATATTAGCAAATCGGATCCAGTAATATATTGAAAAGATCATTCACCATGAACAAATGGGATTTAATCCAGGAATGCAAGGCTGGTACAATATTTGCTAATCAATAAATGTGATACAGCAAATAAACAAACTGAACGACAAAACTCACAGGATCATATCAATAGACGCAGAAAAAGCATTAGACAAAATCCAACACCCATAAAAACTGTCAGCAAAAGTCAGAAGAGAGGGAGCATATCTCAGCATAATAAAGGTCTATAGCCAACACCATACTCAATGGGCAAAAACTAAAACCATTTCCTTTAAGAACAGGAACAAAACAGAGATGTCCACTTTCACCACTCTTATTCAATATAGCACTAGAAATCCAAAGCCACAGCCAATCAAACATGAAGAAATAAAAGGCATCCAAATTGGAAAGGAGAAAGTAAAACTCTCATTCAGATGACATGATATGGTACATAGAAAACCCTAAGGACTCCACCAAAAAAAACTACTAGAGTTAATATGTGAATTTGGCAATGTAGCAGGATATAAAATTAACACCCAGAAATTGATGGCACTTTTATACACCAATAATGAATTCTCAGAAAACGAAACTAAACAAACAATTCCATTTACCACTGCAACAAAAACATTAGGATACTTAGGAATAAACTTAACCAAGGAGATAAAAGACTTCTACTCAGAAAACTATGGGACATTGAAAAAAGAAACAGAAGAAGATATAAACAAGTGGAAGAAAATACCATGTTCATGGATTGATAGAATTAACATCATTAAAATGTCCATACTACACAAAGCAATCTATAGCTTCAATGCAATACCTATTAAAATACCAACAGCATATTTCAAAGATCTAGAACAAATACTCCAAAAACTTATATGGAACCAAAAAAGACACCCGAATAGCCACAGCAATCTTGAGAAACAAGAAC